TGTGCCTTCGTTTGGGAAGTCTACGGAAAGGCCTGGGCTACTGGAACTGAGGCAGAGGGCAAGTCAGCAGAGCCAAAAGACACGTGTTTATTGAGACTCTAGTTTAGCCTTTTCTTCTTGCCCAGGAGTGGGTTACGCATTCTTCTCCCAGGGTGAACTCGTTCCATACAGAAACTTACAGCTGGGTTACTGATGGGCTTTGCGGGGATTAACTGCCTACTCGCCAAGGGTAAGATGCTAACCTCATCCTCTTAAACTTCACACGCTACAATCCCATAGACAGCTGACATCTAGAGCCCAAGGAGAAAAATAATCCCCCATTTTGCTAATCCTTAAACCAATCATCTCATGCAACACTGAAGAGCCCTTTGGGGCTACAACTCGTTCTCTCAAGGAGAAAAATCCTCCTTCCGTAGACCCGTCACCGGTTTGCACTCATAACCACCCCCCCTACACAGACTTCAACAAAACACCCTGGGTTCTTTTACTGCCAAATAAGTTGTTTCAAAAGTACCGAGAATGGCAAGTTCCTAAGGAGCAGGAATACACAAAACTGATGGGAAGCCAGATTCCACACCTGGGCCCCATAGGACTCCACAGAAGTTACATTCAAGGAAAAGAAACCAAGACTGAGTCCAAATGGGTGAAAAGGGAAAATGAAGTTACAAAATTCATTGCAGAAATTCTTGAGTTCCTCATTTTCCCAGGCTTTGCCTCGGGAAACTCACATTTTCTTAGATCCAGCAGTCAGCAGGCAGGCAGGCAATCATCACGACTCCTGGCAGAATGTGGCAAGCTGAGACTGGGGAGGGCAAGCCAAGAGGTCATCGGGCCATCTCTCCGAACTCACAGTGACGCCTGGCACCCAGTGGGAGCAGACACGATGCGATGAGCACAGAGGCCAAGGGGACACAGCCACTCTCACCTCATCCCTCAAAGCTTGACCTTTTTCTTTTGGTTCTGGACTTTGTAGGTTCGCCAAAGGCTCCACGTAGTGATCTATCAATGCTTTGTCCTAACAGTCCTTCCCATCCAACAACTCACAGCAGAACAGAGCATCTGGCTGGCTCTGATCCGCAACTTCCGCATTCAGGGAACCGCCAGGAACAGCGAGAGAAGTGACGCCTACTTGGGGCCATGAGCCCCACAAGGACTCACGGATCGAAAACCCACAGACCTGCCATAGGCACTTGGAGAAACCAGACAGACACAACTGTGGCTCAGGGAGTTGGGACCCCAGGCTGAGTAAAGGCTGCGGACCAAGGTCAACTACACCAAAGTCCTGAAGATAGCAGCATCATGCACCTGCAGATCGGCCCAGGAAGGGCAGAGGCTAAACGACTGTGCAAAGTCACAAAGTTAAAACATGGCAGCTAGGTGTCCTAGCCACGCCCACCCGATTTGTCCAAAGTAACACGGCACAGATTGTTATGCAAATGATCACATTACCATAATGTGTCCAACAGGTGGATAGAAACGGAAGAATTCGCAATGCGGCTACTGTCCTCATGAGACAAAAGAAAATCACACTCAGGACTAATTCCTTATTCTTAGTACTTTCACTCAAAGAGCAACCCTGTCTTTTCAGGAGTTAGGAGGAAAATTGGGTGGCAAGCAGCATCGGGACACCTGCTAAGGCGAAGAGAACCCGCCGTACCTGGGACGTGAAGGACGCGTGGTGTAGATGGGTGCACACAGGTGACAAGTCAAACCGTACATCACACACAAATACCCGCATCTCCCCAAACCTACCAGAGATCTGTGTTAATTATCTCTGACGTAAATCTCATGAAAAGCGAGATGGCATGGCAGCATTTAGTAACCAGCTTTGATTTGCTCATTTTGAATAGATTTCAGAAGCTGCCTGCGGAAGGATGCTTGAACCGTGTGTAGACAATCCTGAGAAAAAACCCAAAGGTCTCAAGGGTGTCCAATTCCCTTCCGAAATGCAGCTTGTTCTCTAACAAATGAGCAGGCTGTGTGTCAAACCAAACACACCCTCCGTGCCTACCTCAGTTTCTGCTTTATGAATTAGGCTTTTATTGCAAACAATATTCACAGCACAAATTTGTGAGAAGCCAAATTCAAACAGTGGCAACAAAGCCACTAGTCTACAGGTCACCAACTTTGCAACCCACAGCTACTAAAAAAAAAAAAAAAAGTCCAATAAAATACCATGATAGTTTCTCTGAATATGAAATATCCTCAGTGGCTTATCTTCCTTAAATATCAGTTGTCTGTGTCAATTGAGGGCCATGCCAAGGCAGAAAAGAATTGAAATCCAGTATTTTCTGCCAGAAGAAATAGGCACTATTAATTCACTGAACCAAACGCCATCTCCTCCTTTTCCCTGAGCACGCCCGCAGGCCTAGGACACAGGCAGAACTTGCCCTAGAAGCTTGGTGTCCTTGAGGCAATCTTAACTTTCTCCAGGTTTGCTAAGCACAAACATCTTTGCCCTGAGGAGCAAGCCATAAGCACCTTAAAGGGAATGAGAATATGTCGGCTCATTTGCATTTTAAAGGGTACTCTCTCCTGATCTTTCACACTTGTAATGGATGTCTAAACCGTTAAATGACTATCGCTTTTCTTAGCCTGGGAGTCGATGCAAGGGCTTCTCCCGTTCTTCATCCCATGTTGGTCCCTGAACAATACTGACAGCTGCTATCAAACCAGGCTGCGTTTACTCCACGCACAGCTGCGGCTTGTAGGAGCAGTCTGTCTCCTGGTACCTCCTCCCCTCCGGGGAGACAGGTCGACCCACTGCCAGCTCAATGAAGGGCTACAAAGGTCCACTGAACTGTCAACCCAATCTTGTGTGTTGCTTCGATTTTCTACGACAGACACGACTCCTTTCAAGCAAACATCGGTGTGAAACTTAAGGTGGGAGACAATGTTCCAACAATACAAACTCCCAAACTGCCTTCTGATGTAAATTAATCAACTGATCCCCCAATTGCAGTGAGAAAAACCCCATGCTGAAGATACCCGCTGGTGCCCAGTTATACCCCACTTACCCACCTGAGTGGTTTTTTTGTTATATGCTAAAGGTAATATCAGCCTCTTGGAGTTCAATATTATTCCAAATAAAAGCCGTTCCAAAAACTGGGGACTCAACTTGGTTTTTCAAAATTTTCTGATTTGGCTCAAAACGAGCATTTCCTAGAAACATCTGGTTAACGGAATTTTCTTCTCCTCGTTATAGTTTATGTCCAAAATAGGAGAGCGGCCAGAGGGCAGGCCAGTGCTTCAGAACCTTTAGAGGAAATTGAGTTTTACCCACCATGAAATCATATGTAAAAATGTACAGCCTATCGGCAAACATGTCCCACCAAGTTCAACTGGGTACTTGAGAAATGCTTTGCATACGTTTCCCTTTAATCAAAACAGGCTTTTCCACCCTCATTCATTTGGGTTTAAAAAAAAAAACACTCCATGCTCCAATGACAAGTATGATTCACTATCTGGGCGTTGCTAATCCAACATGGTACATGCCAAAGTACCTGGGAAATGTCTGGTCTGATCTCAGAAACAAATCCATTCACGGCATGAGAAAGGGGGTACGGCAGACCGTAGACGCATGCAGATGTAATTGTGCTTTTGGTTGAATGCGATTAGAGAGCCCACGAAGAAAACGGTCAAAACTGTGACACTGAAGGGGTGGAAAGGCAGAGGCCGGACCCCAGCGGGGGAGGGTAAGGAGGGATGGGGAGGTGGGGGAGGGTAAAGGGGGAGCGGGAGACCTGTTTATGCAGAGCTGAGCTGTCAAGTGTAATAAAACGGCTTGAATAAAATTTAAGCTGAAAATCCACTGAAGCTCCCCCATTTCAGGGAGGAAAAAGCTATTAAAAGGAAATGAAGGTCATCCTCCCAGTTTATTTCAGCTAATTGACTGCCAATAGCTTACCACAGGCAACCCAACTGCAGAGCCGCAATTGAGAAACCGATGAAAGGAGGGTTTGCAAGCCCAGGCTCATTCTTTAATCCTCCTTGGCTCTTATGTTTTTTTTTTTTTTTCCTCCATCTCCAGTTGGGATGTAATTTTAAGCCCTGATGGATTAACCGGTCCCATTGTCTGCGGCCATCATGGGACTATGCCACTCTTAATCCGTACAGCGGCATGTCTAATTATCATTACAAAGTGTCTGAGGAAAAACTGTCGAGACCAGCAGGGCATCTTCTCGGCAGCAATTAACATAAACTGATCAATGAGTAATTTGAGTCTGCTCAAAGCACTCACGTTAGGAATAAAATCAGTAAGCACAACCCCTTGCTGCAGCTAAACTTGTTTCATCTGGGAGGGTCAGGACACGGGAGAAGCAGCCTGCTTCCTAGTCTGGGTGGGACCTCAAACTCCAGCACAGGAGGGACGACACAGTTCACTGGGCCCCCCCAGGCCAGAGCCAGTGACTCAGGCCTGCCAGCCAGTGTGGCCTGCAAAGAAGGGCTCAGGAAACAGACCATGAGCCCTCCTCCTTCCCCAGCAAGGGAGCGCTCTGTTCAACATCTTGCCTCTTAAAAATTCATGGAAGAGGCATCAGAGAGAGAAAGAGCAAACAGATATATAGGTCTGAATACCCTGGGAAGCAAAAGGCAAAAGCAAAGCAAACGACATGAAATGACAGCTGGCAGACCTACTCCAACCTATCGCGATCCAACACTCGAAGACACAAGTAAAGAAGCATCTACAACTTCAGCCTGCAGCTTTTACTCGGCTAACAGAGCAAGAGGGCTTTGCGTGTCACAAGGTAAACCACATTTATTTTCCCATTTGAAAGTCGATTTATTTTTCTTTCTTTGCTAAAATGTATTCCCTGCCATCCGCCTGGCGCTAAGACCACTTTCCTTACTACGCCCCTCAGCATGCCTCAAACCCCCTTCCTCCCACCCTTATCCAACAGGCCAACCACAATCTGAACAAAGCTACAAAGACATCCAATTAATAAGAAATGAAAGCTGGTTATACACACTGTAGGAGGTAGACCCGGGAGGCCACGTACCCCGATGATGGCATTCAACTCTGCCATGGTCACCTGTTTGGCACGTTCGACAGCCTGCGCCACCTGTTGTTGATGCTTTGAAAACAAAGAGAAAGAAAGGACGGTGAGCAACAGCTAGGAACTCCCCTGTACATTCTTACAGCAAAAGACAAAATAGCACATGCAAGGTGGGTAAGGGTCTCAATCACAGCCCGGAAAACAGACACGCCAACACCATGTGTCCCTTTAGTAATAGAGTTGCCATTCAGCTTCTAGTGCTAGGGTTCCACAAATGGTGACTGGCGCTCTCAGAAAATAAATGGACCAAGATTCATGTGATCAACCCAGTCCGGGGGGAAATAAACTTGGGCAGAGGGAACCTAACACCACCCACTTCAACAACAAATGATGGGGTTGTATCTCAGATAACAAACCTGCACCCACCAGCAATCTGGGGGAATTCCTCGTTCAAACTTTTGGTTTTTAAAGACCTGACTGTCAGGTGGATGGAATGGAAATTCACCAGATCTACTTCCTACCTCCTCCCCAAATACAAATGGAGTGTCTGCTGTGGAAGACAAGAAGTGGCCCTGAGCTGAGGCCTGACGGACAGCTGAATTCTAGAAGGTCCTCCAAGCTCTACTGCTAGGTCAGACACATGCTGTGCTGGGGGAGGCAAAGGTGGCAGCTAGCAGCCTGGACCAGGGGAGGCCACGATGGACCCAAGTGTTGGGACTTCCAGTGCAATCAACTCGTCACTGTTACCAAGTCACATTCATTCTGTGTACTCCTAGCACATGATAGCAGTTATTGCCTTGTGGTAAACTTTGTCCAGCAAAACCAAACTAGAAGGGCCTGTGGTCCATTTAAATGGGTTACTCACCTCTTAAAATACCAAGGTTAGACCCATATGATACAGAAAGCAAACGGTTTAGAGGCATGTCTGACCAACTTCATGAAGGTAACAGGATTACTCATTTTATCCTTTTGACTATTATCATCCACTTCTTCCACGGACAGCATTAGCTTCAGCGAGTGGGTGTGCAACTGCAAGTGAAACAGCTGGCACCATGGCCAAGCCAATCCCAGTGGAACCATCTTTAGGTCAGTCCAAGAAAAGCTCTCTACTTCAAATCTATCAAGGACACCTAACTCGTCAGAAGCCATCAAGTGTAAACTACCCAAAGAAAACAAAGTTGTATGTTTGACAGTCATGCTGCCTTCATCCCATGCAAAACCATGAATCGGGGCTTGAGTGTCTGTCATTGCACCTACAGAGCGCCCTGTGATGTGCCAGAGACTGGCAGGGGGTTCACACACTTCAGCTAGAGCAGATGTTCTTCACACTTGTTCCCTGTGATAAAATTAACATCTTAAAACTAGCTAATTTGCAAACAGAGAGGCAACATAATTGCACTTTAACAGCTGAATGGTTTTACTTACTTCCTGAGACAGAAATGGGATGACTTGTGCACAGATCGTGTTCAGCCTCTTCGCGATTTCAGTCTACAAAGACAAAGCCACAGAAATGTTTAGAACGTGTCACGGGCAGTGCAAAAAGGTGAAACGTCCTATATCTCACGTGGGAGTCTCCTCTTCCTCACCTTGGAAGGCAGAAAATGGCTCTCCCAGGTCATGTTACCAATGTGTAGCTTCAAACAAACAGGAGACACGAATCCCATTCACCAAGTAAGGAGAACCCTGCCAAATGCTTTGGGGGTCACTTACAGGGTGCCACACGCTTAACTGCACTGGAAGAGCTTTGTGGTTTAAAGCTCTCTGATCCTGCTCTCTGATCAAGATGGCAAGCCCCTTAGCAAACCCTTCTGATGATGGCACAAACATGTGACATCTTTTTTGTTGTCACACTAGAAGTTGATTCAAAGAAGTGATCAACCCAACAACGCTGTGCCACTGGCCCTGTGTGCAGAGTCAGCCAGGGGACATTGCAGAGGCAAGGAGCCACCTGACACCTTCCCCTGGCTCCGCTGCCTGCACAGCTCAAACAGGACCGTCATGCTGGCGGCTTCCCGTGAAGTCTCAGAGGCTCTAACACACCAAGCTCCTGAGAGCAGAAGTCAGGTAAGTTATGGTCCATTCCCAACATCCTGGGGACCTGGAAAATGTCACCACCGCCATCAGCAATAAACCCAGAGACTTCCCAGAGGACTAGGGTACCACTCAGTACATTCTGAGTGACAGCCGCACAAGTGTGCAGTCATCCAGGGCAGTGCCTCAGCGACCGGGGAGGAAAAGGGGTGCACCGTCTGCAGCCCAGGGGTGCAAGGCACCTGTGCGGCCTCCAACACACACACAATGCAAAGCAGCTTTGCTTCCCTCTAACTCTTCAGAACTAGTGCTCTTTAAAAAAAAAATCATCTGTGGAGAGAGACCCTGTTCTGACCTTATTTATTCCACCATATTCTGTTGAGGCTCACTAGAAGCAGCCGTCATCTATTACTGCATTAGGCAATGAAAAGGGTCAGGAGCAGAGGACCAGACAGCTCACAGTCCGTGCCCTTGAGAAAGACTGGAAGAAGCAAGATAAAGCAGAAACCCTAGGACCTTGGTAATCAGGTCTAGCAAACAAAAGAGCCGCCTTTTGTCCTCCAAGATGATTCCAGTTAACGTGAGCAGTAAGCTCCTTGGTTTTATGGGGTTGGATTTAGGCCAACCCAACCCTCCTGACCAGAGAGATAAGGTTACAGACCAGGCTATGGAAGAAACCTTCTAGAAGGGGAAATGACTGGTATAGAAAGCAAACCCATGACTTTGCTTTCGCCAGTGGGGCAAACAGACGTATGCAAAAAGGGTGCAGCTGTGCCAGGTGCAAGAACACACTAGGGTCAGCCCCACCCGGTTCATTGGACCATGGCCACCTACTCCAGCCAAGCCAAGGTCACACTTCTCCTCGAAAGCAGGGGCAGACTTCTCTTTCCTTTTCAACAGGATCCTGCACCACACACTGGGTGCCCAGCAAGCAGCAGGGATGCCCTTCTTGGACTCCCAGACAGAACCCTTCCTCCCAACTCCAACACTGTGTACCTGCCCGAGAAAGAGACATACAAAAACCAACACTGCTTAAGAAGTTAGAAGTCCATACCCAGGGACAGACATGATGACTTTTGGTGAATCTGAGATGCCAGGCTCTCACAACCTATACTGGAGACCTATACTACCAGGAGAGTCCCACTACAGACACCGCCAGTCTGTAATTTGCTTTCCATTCCCTATATCGTGAACACCCTTCCAGCTAACAGAGCCGGGGAGAAGTACTGTAGAAACCTTACGACGTTTAAGCACTCATGACACCGAGGTTTGTCTGATACAATTTTCCGCAGTTGCAAATTCTGTGCCAATAACCTTCTAGGCCGATCTCGGGAAGGAATCCGTAAATGGAGAACCCAAGTGGATGGCTGCCGTCACGCAGGCTGCCAACTGCCCCGCTGAAAAGCTGTGCTCGTCCAGGCTGCCCGTCCAGGAAGGCGCTTGCTCTCCCGCCTTGTGTCAATATTGGGTTTTGCTGACCTTTTAAAAATCTTTAGCTGCCTAATAGATTACAAGCTGACCTCTTTTTTATTTGCATTACATGGATTCTTCTTGAAGTTAAACATCTTTTCACCCCTATTTACTGGTCCACTCTATTTTTCCTTCCTTCATTTTCCCACTGGTCTGTGGATTCACTGCCTCTTCAGAGCAGTATTTTCCACAGATGCTAATAACTCTTTACCACAGCTGGCCCAGCCGCCTTTTATGGAGTGGTTGTTGTTCTTGTTGTTGTATGGACCTTGAAGCTTTTAAATGGTCAATAAGAATTCTCTTCTTATGCTCCTGGCCGCTGGGTAAGATAGAGAGCACATCACACTCACAAAAGCTATTCTTAATTTTCTTCAAATGGTGCTACGGCTATGCCTTTCACTTCTAATTACTTGATAGAGTTGAAATTTATTTGGGTTGAACATGATGTCTTCTTTCATTCACAGTAATCTATGTGATCATGTGTTACTACATAGGATAGTTTCAAGGTAGGTGAAGGCCCAGCCTAGAGGGCAGATGGTAAGCCTTCTGACTCCAACGCTGCCTGGGACACCCAACACATCCACAGGCAGTCTGCTTCAGGGCCCAGTCCACTTCTGAGCTGAGTTTCTGAGAGGCAGCATAGAATGGCTCAGCTGGTGGGGCGCCCAGCACCTACAGAGGAGACCTGGAAACCTGGCTGCTGTGCGCGTCAGAGGCGTCAACTAGCTCATGGGAGCACACGTGTTTGCATCCTGTTGATTTCTGCCATTCCAATAAAAGTAACTTCCAAAAAAAAAACATGTTTGACTTTTAAAAAAGACTGACTCTCATGGCAGCACGCCACATGGGCAACGAGTTTGGGATCGTTTGTTCTACTTTTGATCCAGCTCCCTGCTAACGCATCTGGGAAAGCAGAAGACGGTCCAATTGTTTTTGAGCTTCTGTACCCACAAAGGAAACACTATTGGCTTACAAATAAATAAAAATTTTAAAACACTCCCCACCCCCCGAAAAAAAAAAAAAGATCCTAAACACAATGAACTTGAACTATAAACTTCTTAAGATTTTACTTCTGTCTGACAGGCAGAGTTCCAAAGGAGAGAGTTATCTTCCATCTGCTGGTTCACTCCTCAAAAGGCCTCAGTGCCTGGAGCTGAGCCGACCTGAGGCCAGCAGCCAGGAGCGTCTTGCCAGGTTTCCCACGTGGGAGCACCTTCCATGGAACTTACTGTGTCACCTGGTAAAACTAAACCACCAGGTACAGAGATCATGGGCTGCACGAAACACCCATCCGGTTTGCCGACGGCAGTTTCTGCATAGGCGGCCCCTACATGGCAGATGGGCAGCCATTAGAACCAAACTCCGGAAGCTGTGAAGTAGTTCTTGGTCACATCGCTCCATGGAAACTCATGCCATGGTGGAGGTTCAATCCACCTTCACACTGCGGCACTCAATGAAAACGGAAACATCACGAGCTCCTAACCCAAGGACCAAAGCACAAGCAGATAAATCACTACCAAACAACACAGAGGAAGGCTGTCTACAAAAGGAAATCAGGTTAGTGGACTCACGGGCGTGAATATTTTGATGGGCAAATACCTCAAAGACCAGCAATGAATCCAAAAATATGGTCCAGTTTGCAAGATTCTCAAACCAGAAAGATGTCTTTTTCCAGCTTCTGACTTTGTAAGTTTAAAAACTCTGATTCCTAAAATCTCAGCCCAGTGCCTTTTCCTCATATGGCGTCTAATTCCGACAGAAAAGTGCACTCCTGCACGACCTGGCGTCCCCACTGCACACAGAGTAACGCAAGGGCAGAGCTGTGCAAAGCTCACCACAGGGCAAGGACTGTTCAAGAGTAATTGCCCACGGGTCTCCGAGCAATCCAATGGCTCCTTGCCCAAAGTCTGCGGAAGGAGGGGAAACTCCACCAGCATTAAATTGCAAACTGATGGGTCATAAAAAGTGCTGCTTATGCTGAGGGCTGGCAAACTGATTCTCTGGCTTCCTTGAGCCACGCAGGAAGCCAAGAGGAAAAAAAACAAAACAACAGAATAGAGTGTTGGTAAGAAGTGTCTGGCAGCAGACAAATGGGCAAGAACATGAAAACAAAGCACAAGAAGGAAAATAAACGGATAACCTCTAAACCCCTTCTGACTAGAACTTTCTAAGATGACATCCGTGAATACAGGAAAAAAAAAAGCGTGCAACTTTACCAGCAATCAAACAGCAAGGAAATTCTGCTGTCAGGTAGGTCATTTGAAGCCACTGAGGGTAGTATAAAAAAGAATTAGTGAGATCACCAATGGTGAGTCCTCAGAGAATGAGAACAATGAAGTGCTGCTGACAACAGAGGAATCCAATACGGTCATCTTGAAAAGCAAGTGAAAAATATACTTCAAGACCATGAAGTTGTTCCAACCCTTTCATAAGGCTGTGTATGGCTAAGAATTTTTCCTAAGGAAATAGTTCAAATGAAAAGCATTCCACCGTAGGAAGCTGCCCAGTGCAGCCCCGGTTTCAAAGCAGAAAGAAAAAAGGCCAGGTAAAGATGGAAGAGTTGATCCTATGATAAACCTCTGCTGAGTTTTTGAAAACTTCACATTTGCCCTCCTGATAAACCAGCTGTTTTGTGCCTGGAAAATGGCTGCACACATTCCACCAAGCTACAGGCATGGCAAGAAACCATGCAAGTCCTATGCATGGTAATGACCCAAAGAAAACCAGCATATTTATTAGATGACAAGAGAACAAAATGGCAGCAAGTGAGCCTGTGTAACTTTCTCTTCAGTAATGCTTCCAGGGGGGTAGGGCACTGGCCTACAATCTAGGGGCTCCACATCCCCGGACCTGGCCCGCTTTCTGCCTCCAGGTCCCAACCCCAGTTCCCTGGAAGGCAGCGGTGATAACTTCATCAGTTAGGTCCCAGTACCCACATGGGAGATCTGCATGGAGTGCCCTGCTGTCGGCTTCAGTCTGGCCCAGCC